GTTAGTATTACGGTTTTAAAGTAGTATTAACCAATTAAGGATTAACAATTTTTTTCTGTTGTAAACCCACACCGATTTTTTTCAGTGTAAGTATTGTTTTCTTACCAAATTAATTTGAAAGGCTCTATCTCCAGATATTTTGTCATTAAATGTATCAAGGTCTGCTGTATTATCCAATGGTAAAATGCAATCACTTATATCATTTAATGTTGATTTATTATTATAACAGTTGCTACTTGTATTTGAAATGTTATTACCATCAAGCCGTGTTTCTATTGATTCAATTCTTTGGGCAATGTCCATTTGATAATTGACAAGTCTTTTAAGTTCGTGTTTTACAAAAGCCAATCTATATAGCACCTCTTTTTGAAAATCACGATCTGTACCTATATAGTAAGGAATTAGATTTTATTATAAATAGATATTTGAAATATGTTCATGAAACAATATTTATTAGCACTGACTGCAGTTAATAAATATAGTTCTGTAGTTTTTTTTGTAAATCATAATATGATAGGAATATTTTAACCAAAAAGTTATCTAAACACGACATAAACCAATGATATAATTACATTTATATTTTATGGACACACTAAAATACAACAACAATGCTAAGAAATTAGTAAATATGCTATTTTTTTAAAACATATACTTAATTTCGAAAAGTCACTTAGTATATTATTGATTATTTCCATCTCAGAAAATAAAATTATAAAATCTTTCTCAGAATATAATTTAAAACCACCATAAATAAACACATGCATTTAAGAATCTCCGGAACCCATCAATGATATTAAAGAAGTAAATATAGGGACTTTATACGTAATAAGACTATTTGATCGAACAACACCAATAAATAAAAATGTATAGCCATTAGAACTAATTTTAGTTATTTATCCCAAAGTTATTCTTATTTTAGTTTATAATTTAAATATTAATAGTATAATATTTAATATAATTTAGTATAATTTAGTATAATATTTAGATAGTTTTCTTAACCTGAAGTAGTTGATGTGGTTGGTGTGTTAATCAAAATATGTGATGCTGGCGGCAGTTTTTGTTTTTCTATTGATGATATTATATTCAACTTGTTAGTTACATTTTTCTGTGCTTCTTCTTGAGGTATATATAAAAAAAAAAATTAATTTAATTTATTTGGACAATATAAGTAATGATCATAGAAAAACAAATTTAGTAGATTCACCTGTCTGTGATTCAGATGGTGGCGCTGTTACTGCATCACTTTCAAATGATGTATTATCATCAATATCTGTTTCATCATTTGTTAAAGGTTTTGACATAATTTCTTAGGTATAAAATAATATAATATACATTTTGAATTAACCAACTATTTACAATAATAATAGTAATACATACTTTTTTTCTCGCCAGTGCTATCATATGAAAGTTGTCTGGAAACTGAGGGTTTTGAACATACATATTTATTTTTACTAAACTGAATTGGATTATTGTTTACAATTTGAGAACCTGAAAAATGTTTGTTATTGTAAAAATTAATATATCATATTTAATTTAATTAGTACATTAAATTTAATTATTTTAAACATTTACTTTTTAATTTTTTTGGAGAAGGTGACCAACCATTTACCCGTGTCTCGGAGACTGCAGCAAATGTAGATACAATATCATCATTACAATTGTTATTGGATTCATCTTCAGATGCTAAGCATTACAGATCATATAAAACATTATAAAAGTTATACTTATATATCAATATATATTTACTATTCACATATGCAATACCTGAATAAGAATGACATAATAATGATTCCGTAGTGATTGATGTCTTCTTTTTGCATTTACGTTTATGTTTTATATCATAGTCTTCAGCAGATGATATATCGGTTTTTGTAAGTCCTTCTTTAGTCATTTCTCGTGCTTTTATTAATGAATCTATTCATATAGGAAATATAATATATATTAAAACCAAATTAAATAAGCAGAACAGCTGTGCAAACTGTGTAGTTGAGTGTGAATTCCGGGACGACACTTTGGGTGTGGTCACCGATTGTCCTTCACATTCCTGGTTTTCAACGTTTTCATAGTAAATATGATGTCATTTATAATATTCTCAATCAAGAGTAATGAGCAGAATACAGCCAATGAGATCCGATTGTATGAACACTACTAGAGATAATTTAGTTAATAAATACAGGCCACGCAGTGGAATTTTTGTCATTTGCAGTATGCCTATAAACGGCTAACACAGTTAACACCTGCAAATAAAATCTGTATTTCTCACTGAAATTTGTCATACAATAGCGAATTGATGCTAAATCATGACAAACGTAGGGGAGTATTACACCGAACGACCAACTCCATCACGGAACTATAGTAAGTATGTAAATACATTTTTATCGAAATATTTTAATAAACCAAATAATTATAATTCTAATAAAACAACTTTGTCGAAAACAGTTTTTAATCCTTGGATTACAAAAGGAATTATTGCTTCTATAAAAATACGTAATAAATTAATTAGAAAAAAACAATCTCTAGGAGTGTTTTACAAATCAAAAATTAGGCACTATATCAAAATTTTACGTGAAAGTTACTTTATAAAACAAATTAATATTATTCACAAAAAAAATCCTAAAATACAATGGGAGTTGCTCTGCAATTATTTAAAAATTAATAAAAAGAAAACTGTTATCGACATTGATTGTAATATATTAAATAATCATTATGTAAATATAGGTCCTAAACTTGCTTCTAAAATACCTTCTATGGAAGCCTAATTAAAAACTAAATGCAATTATTCTGTTAATTCTATTTTTTTCGAATCAATTACTCCAGATGAAATAATACTCAAAATTAATTCTCTCAAAAATAATATAGCTCCAGGCTCCGATAAAATTAGTGTAGAATTATTAAAATCCAAAAAAAATCTATATCTGTTCCTTTATCGTGTATGTTTAATTTATTTGTTGAAAATAATTATTTTCCGAGTGAATTTAAACCCGCAGATATTGTTTCTATATATAAAAATGTTGGAAGTAAGTTAGATCCGAATAATTATCGACCAATATCCTTACTATCTAATATTGCAAAAATTTTTGAAAAATGCATCTATACTAGAATAACTAATTTCTTAAATAAAAATAATTTACTGTCTAGTTCACAATTTGGTTTTTGGGAAAGAAGAAGCACTGAAGACGCAATAACTAAATTAATTTCACATATTAAAACAGATAAAAAATATAAGCTTGTTGTTTTCTTAGATCTAAAAAAAGCTTTTGATACTGTTGATCATAATTTATTATTATTAAAATTGGAAAATATAGGCATAAGAGGAATTGCATACAAATTACTTAAATCTTATCTGGAAAAACGAACATGTTGCACAAAATTAGGTAAAACAAAATCTGTTAAAAAATTAATTACTTGTGGAGTTCCGCAGGGAACTTGTCTTGGACCTTTATTATTTATTATTTATATTAACAGTTTAACAAATATTAAATTAAACGGAAACTTAGTTCTTTTCGCGGACGATACTGCCTTAGTGGTAGATGCAGATAACCCGAATGATCTATATCTAAAAGCAAATAACGATCTTCTTAAAATTAAAAACTGGTCAATGGAAAATAAATTATCTCTTAATATCTCCAAAACGCAATTTATAGATTTTTCGGAAAAAATAGACAAAAACAACAATTTAACAATTCATAATTACCATTGTAAAAATACTTTTAATATTCCAAATATTTGTAATTGTCAGAATCTCGAAATGGTTGAGGAATATAAATATTTAGGTGTTATAATTGATCGTGAACTTACTTGGAAAATTCAATTAGAAAAAATAATTTCCAAAATTAATAAATCATTACCAGTTTTTAATGTTGCAATAGAATCAAGTTTTAAAAAATCTGTATACTCTGCCTTAGTCCAATCTCATTTACAATACTCTATAACTATTTGGGGAGATTCCTATAATTTGAAACAACTCCAAAATTTACAAAACTCTATTACTTCCAAGTTTAACATAAAAAATGTTCCGTCCATGCAAGAGCTTTTAGATCACCGATTAAAAAAAGAATTTTATGATTTTGATTATTTAATATTACAATATTTTGGAATTTTTTCAGGTAACTAGAATATTTGACGTACATTTCGCCAGCCCCCCCCAAATTAAATTTTTGAAATTTTTTTTTTACCAAACATTAGTGTGCCATTAGTGTGAATTTGTGTGACTACAACCAGAATTTGTGCGATACTGGTTCAACCATAAATTAACAAAATTATAATGGGGGCTGGAGAAATGTTCCCCAGCCCCCCTCATGGAAAAAATCACATTTTTAAAATTTTTCTTTTGCCAAACATTAGTGCGCCATTAGTGTGAATTTGCGCGACTACAACCAGAATTTTTGCGACACCCGTTGTACTCGGAAAAGTCGTTTTTCTTTTTTTGGCATTTCCCCAGCCCCCCCCCCCTCATGGAAAAAATCACATTTTTAAAATTTTTCTTTTGCCAAACATTAGTGCGCCATTAGTGTGAATTTGTGCGACTACAACCAGAATTTGTGCGACACCCGTTGTCCTCGGAAAAGTCGTTTTTCTTTTTTTGGCATTTCCCCAGCCCCCCCTCATGGAAATAATCACATTTTTAAAATTTTTCTTTTGCCAAACATTAGTGCGCCATTAGTGTGAATTTGCGCGACTACAACCAGAATTTTTGCGACACCCGTTGTACTCGGAAAAGTCGTTTTTCTTTTTTTGGCATTTCCCCAGCCCCCCTCATGGAAAAAATCACATTTTTAAAATTTTTCTTTTGCCAAACATTAGTGCGCCATTAGTGTGAATTTGTGCGACTACAACCAGAATTTGTGCAACACCCGTTGTACTCGGAAAAGTCGTTTTTCTTTTTTTGGCATTTCCCCAGCCCCCATCATGGAAAAAATTACAGTTTTTCAATATTTCGTTTGCCCTCATACATTTTTGCGCCGTCTTCCAGGTAAGTCGAAGGAAATGGAATAAATGCAATGTATTGCAAATCATTGATTCCTTTTTTAATTAAATGTATGAAACTCTTACCATTATGGTCTGGGATTATGGTTCCTGTGTTTGGTTATGGTTCAGAGACTGCTAGTTTTGCAGCAGTAGAATCCAGTTTTAAAAAACTTAAAAACTTGACATTTAAATCCACAACATTACCTGTCAGTATCGAAGAGTTTTTGGAACAACATATATGTTCACTACGTGGAGTGTCACTCATCCATTCAACGAAAACAGGATATGAAAAAACTTGTGAAATTGATGATGATACCACAGTAGATACCCGAAATGAACTAAAGGAGAAAAAATCAACTTTCCAAGTTGATATGATGATAAGTTCAGGTGATGAAAACGATTATCTAAGAATCCCAGACAAATTAGATTGTCCTCTGTGCTCTACCGGTTCCTTACCTTCTGAAAGTGGGGCTCATAAATGTGTTGTTTGTAAGATACCGGTTCACGCACTATCTACTTGTTCCAGAAGTAGATCAGGCCAAGATAATGTAAGAGTTTGTTTCTCGTGTTGGATATTTGAGATAGATACGTGTGTAAATAATAATTATTGTGAAATAAATGAAAACTTGAACGAGGAACGAAAAGCTGTAGAATCGTGGAATCGAAAAAGCCAGAGAAAAAATAAGTCTTACCTTGTCACAAACCCACATTTAAGACATTTGGACCTTAACAATTCAAAAAAAATAACGTCGCTCCCTATACTAAAAAATGGATCTCGTTCCACAGAACTTAAGAGTGTTAAGTCTAATGTAGTACAAGGTAGAATTGCATTGACTAACACTTGTGCATTTGACTCGTTGGCTTCGGTGTTGATGGTAAACATTTTTATCTTAATCGCGTAGCTATATAATTTTTGTATGACATGTTTTTTTCAACCATTCATTTTTGTAGGTATCATATTGTGACAGCCAAAAATATTCTGAAAAGGTTGATTATATTGGTGAACATCAGTTTTTCAATTTTATTTCAAAAGTTGTAAAACATGGAATATCGTCAAGTACATACTCGGGAAGAGCTGATCTTATCATTGAGAAAATGAACCCCGAACTTCAAACCTTGGAATACAATATAACATTAGCAAAATGTGATTCGACTTTTGGCCATGTTTTGGATATGATGTTAGAAGATTTTCCATCTGTTAGGTAGAGTGTACAGTGCTCTTCAAATAATTGTGAGCTACGTAAAAAATCCACACATTCTCTTGTATATTTAACGTATGAAACAACAAATGGTAAAATTAATGATATACAACGACTTTTGGATAACCGTCAGCACTCTGAGACGTCTGTATGTGGTCGAATGGTACGTGATTCAGAAAAAATATGCGAGGGAATAAAAGAAATAAATTCAGCCCTATCCGAAATACATATAATAATTGATATTTTATATTGGGAAGGTAAATTATGTTTTTAATCATGAAGTATTTAACTCATAAAAATAAAACACATTTTTTATTTTAAAAATAATCTTATTTTGAATGTTTGATTATACAAGAAGAAGCGGTTATTTCATCGAACCGTTCATCTGAGGCTGCAGCACATGTAGACATAAAATTAGGAGAAATCCCTCAAGTGTTGCTATATGGTTCAAGAACATATGAACTTAGAGGCATTGTAAGTTTCAAAAGAGGTCGGACTTCTCTAAGAAATTCGATAGGACACTACCACGCGTATGTCAAAAGAGGGAATAAAAATTGGCAGTTATTTGACGATCTAAACAAAAAACCGATTCCAATAAATGAATCGAAAACGGTACCTTGTGAGTTTTTGGTTTATACTATATAATTAAAGTTTTGTCACATATTATCAATAATAAAAAAATTGTTTTCATTATAAAAGGAAAAATATAGAGAATACAAATATTACGTTAATATTATGTTTAATAAATTCAAGTACCCACACAAAACCAATCCTTACAGCTTCAATATATCACTATATTTACCTATATGATTTGCGAAAATATTAGACATATCCAGGATGAATAAACCTACAAACAAAATAATAAATTCGTTTTCTACAGTTGTTTAGTGATTATCTGAGTGTAATAATAATAATATAAATATGTCGACAGATCAGTAGGTACCTCAAATGTTCTGCAATCTACACTACCATACACTATCAGTAGGTACCTAAAATTATGTATGTGCGAATGACGTAAAATAATAATAAATTATAGTTATATTATATAAAATATAAACTATACCATCCTGGTACCCAGGCTACTGAAATTTCCTTTTTTCAGTGACCATAGGACATAGGTACTGTATAATATCTAATTAGTAATTTTTAGAAAAGTGATTCAACCATGTGGAGTAAGCGCGGCGGGTAGAGTACGATTGTGCGCGAACCTTATTGGTTTATCTTGCGCGTATTAAATACAAAAACGATGTCACCATTGTACAAAGTTGCCAAATTTAATAACACAACAATATACATTCTAAGATAAATTTCATATTTATACTCATCTTTTATTGTAATGTTGAATTTTCAATCCATTCATTATACATAGATGCACTGCAATTATTGCACTCACACGTAAGTAGTTAAGTTACCAACTAATTTCACTGTATCAGTAATTATATAATTTATCATTATGGATTCAATAAACATAGTACGGTCTATTTAATAAAAAAAAATCTTGTTAGTAATTTTAAATATAGGTAATCAATTAATTAACAAAAGAAAATACAACTAGAAAAAAGTGTTCTGCTACTTCACTGACAAAATTAGATACATTTTATCAATCAACTAAAACATTTTACCTAAGTATCAAGGAAGTATTTATGAAATAGTTATTTTATTATAAATAACAAAATTAATTTAGATTAAATTTTAACGATTAATTACATAGGTACATAATTTTAGAAACCTTATTTTGATTCATTGATATAATATTGTGTTGTCTATAGTTTCTACATATACATATTTAAATTTAATAAGACCTACCAAAACGATTTGTAAAAAAAAAAAGAAAAAAAAATCATATTTAAAATTATACCGAAAGTACAACAATGTGGTATTTTTTTCTAAACAAGCATGCAAGTAATATTGGTGATTACTAAATACGAAAATGTTTGATTTTGATCCAATGTTAAAATTGAATGTTTCGACTTACCTGGAAACGGCGCAAAAATGTATGAGGGCAAACGAAATATTGAAAAACTGTAATTTTTTCCATGAGGGGGGGCTGGGGAAATGCCAAAAAAAGAAAAACGACTTTTCCGAGTACAACGGGTGTCGCACAAATTCTGGTTGTAGTCGCACAAATTCACACTAATGGTGCTCTAATGTTTGGCAAAAGAAAAATTTTAAAAATGTGATTTTTTCCATGAGGGGGGCTGGGGAACATTTCTCCAGCCCCCCATATAATTTTGTTAATTTATGGTTAAACCAGTATCGCACAAATTCTGGTTGTAGTCACACAAATTCACACTAATGGCACACTAATGTTTGGTAAAAAAAAAATTCAAAAATTCAATTTGGGGGGCTGGCGAAATGTACGTGAATATTTGTTCATGTTATAGTACAATTCTATATAAATCTAGTTATATAAATAAGAATACATTGCTTTTCATTCGTAATAGCGATTTGATGCTAAACAATAAACATAGAAAATGGATAGCAATTTAGTTTATGTCATAATCTACTTAATAAATCCTGATTTTAATGTTCTACATAGCTTACATTTTGCAGACAATCTCTTCCTGTTGTGATTAGTTTTTATTATAAGTGGACTTATATTATCTGGTTTTTTGTTTACACTTAAAGCAATATAGTTTGTTCATTTATAGGGAAAATAATTGACTGAAATTAAAAATATAAATTACGTCGTTAAAATATTACTCGGTACACCACTATCAGAGAGATAACCATGGGGGTATAACGGAATTGGAACTTGTTGCTGTTATGATAACAATATCCTGCGGAAAATAAATGTTTTCGGTTTATAACAATGATAACGAGATTTCCGGTTCATAAAACGTGCCTGTTACATCACAAATATTATAATAATTTACATTCGATTTAAAAATTTTCTCAATTGTAAATATTTCCTTTGACCAATTTGTCTTTAACTTATTTCTATAAACATCAATTATTGAAGATAATCTAACTCTATCATTTACTTCAAATTTCGGTTTGGAATTACAAATATCATAATCGTAAACAGTGGAAAGCAGTTCTTTCTCGTTTTTCTTACTTACATCAGCAGGTTTCATTTTTATTGTTTTATGGTATGTATTATTATATGTCTTAATAATCCTTGGCAATTCAGTAATCCATACATTATTTAAATAAAGTACTTTTTCAACTTATCACCTAATGTTCTGTTAAAACGTTCAACCATAGATGCCTTTTTATCGGTGCCTGTACTATACATTGTAATGTTATATTTGTTTAGTAATTGTTTTAAATCTTTATTATAAAATTCTTTACCTTTATCTACATGTAATTTTTTTAATACACTATGTTTAAATATTTGTGAAAATGCTTCAGATACTTCCAATCCACTTTTTGTTTTCAAAGCTACAGGATAAACTTTTTTAGAAAATGTATCAATAACATTAAGAATATATTTAAAGCCATTATTAGCTTTATATAAGGCTTTATGGTCATCATTAACTTTAATTTCATTATGTTTATTTCTTAAATTATAATTGGGATCACTATCTTTAGATTTCGGTCTATAAAAACAGTATAAATCAGCTTGCCAAGTATCATTTATACCTCTTTGTATAAAATGTCTTGTTTCAAAATGTTTTCTAGCTGGTTTAAATAATTCATAAGCTTCTATAAGTTCTGGTGGTTTTGATATATTATTCTTATTTGTATTACATATTTTACATACTGATGACCTCCTATATTTATTATTTTTTTTAATAAATTCAGGAATACCTATACTCCTAGTTTGAGATTTACAATTTTTGCAATAGTCCATTTATTTAAGATGTATATATTTTATATATTTTCTCTAATTGTATTATTAGTAAGATCATAGAAAAATTCGGCACCAGAATACAAAACAAATATAACAAATGGTATTAGCGGGCACATCTTCATTAAAATCTGCATGTAAGACAATACTTGTTTTAAATCCAGAAATTTGTGATGGTTGTCTACTCATATCAATTACAAAGTATGGTCTGGTATAGTTAAACTGTTTTGGAGTTATATACATTAAAGATAAGTCTCTGTGTACTCTATTATAAACATTCTTATAATCCATTAACATATCCTCCTCTATATACTGGATATACAATATCTTTAAAAAATCCTAAACACAAATTAGACAATTTACCAGTAACACTAAAAAAACCACCACCACTAAATCTTGATTGAAATCCATTATTTATTGTTGGTCCACTCTCATTTGCAGAATAACTAACCGTACCTTTAATCAAACCACATCTACCAACATTATCAATTCTATCTAATTCTTTACCATGTTTTCAGAAATTGACTCAAACAAAAATCCAGGAAAATTGTCAACTAACATTACATTTGAACCTTTAGGACAGCTAGTACCATCGGCCTGTAAAACTTGACCAGAAATTCGAAATTTTGCCTTACCAACTCTTAAAAAACTATTTTCTTCATTTATGTTAAAATTAGTAATCTGATTAGGTGCATTCAGATTTGATGTTGATATAGGGTAAAATACTTTATCCTGTTCACGGATAATAGTACGGTCATATTTTGCAAATATATTCTCCATTTATAAGGAAAAAAATGTAATAAAATATTAGTAAAATAGTTCTTGAGGAATTTTTTCTTTACTCATAAATTAAATTTACTTGATAAATGTTTCTTATGGCCTCAACTTGAAAAAATATCTTATTCAAAAAAATTTCGAGATGTTCAACTGTACAAACATTAAAAAAAAATATTAGCACAGAACGGCGTACAATAATGATGAATTAATAAAATTAGCCATAAATTGTCGACTTGTTTACGAGTTAATCTGTTTGATTCGAATTTTTGTTGACAAACTGTAATTCACGCCGTTCTGTGCTAATATTTTTTTTTAATGTTTGTACAGTTGAACATCTCGAAATTTTTTTGAATAAGATATTTTTCAAGTTGAGGCACATAATTTGGGTATTGATTTCACTTCTTTATTAAGCCCCAAATTCTATTTTTTCAACCGTGGCCCTTTTTGGCACAGAACTTTGAGATTGATTTCACATCTTTATTAACACCAAAGTTCTATCTTTTCTCCCAATCTCTTCAACTTACGCACAGAAAGCCTTTTTTACTTCTCCGAAGTAGTTTTTTTGAGGATTTCAATTATTTTTCCGAAGCACGTTTTACTGTGATATAATGAGGTTTATCGTTTATATTTTATATTATATTTATGGATTACATTTTTTCTAATTATTATTTTTATTTGTGAATAATAATTCTATAAAAATAGAAATACAATATAAATGTTTATAATTATATAATATATAATTTGTAACGTTCAGTGTAGTTTAAGGTCAGTTGTAAATATATGTTATATTTACATTACTATATTATCGGGTATTGGTAATGCGCCGCGCGTCAGTGTACAAAATCTCCCGCACCACCGCCGCACCCACTACCACCTCTACCTCAATCACACTATTATATATTATATTACCGGCCTCCCACTAATTTATTTATTAATTTATTTATTTTTTCTCTTCTTCGTCTTCCTGCTGCCTACGGTGACACTAGTCCCGGGTTATTATTTTTACCACATTGTTGTGTTTTTTTGGCAACATGGAGTAGCGGCCGTTGGAGTTTTCCCCGGCGATGCCCGCGGAAAAGGTGGCGTTAGTGGTGAAAACGGGTAATCAGACATCGACTGTTTCCTTGTGTCTGGTTCCTTGACCGTGTATACACTTAATATGTACGTATGATTATTGGTATTTTTGTGTATCTGGCCGGTACAAATGTACAATATGTTTTAATATGCTTTTTTTATATTATTATTACCACCGTCTGTTCGGATTATGGTTATTGTTATTATTGCCGTTACCTTTATTAAGACCGAGTTTTACGCCCGTCCGAGCTTTCTCGGCACCAAATTAATATAACCAACTCAAAACACCTTATGCCGTCTATTGAGTTTTTATTTATTATTATTATTACTGTCACCCATATGTCCATCCTTTGAGTATATATCATTAAATTACTATGCTAAAAAAAAAAAGAAAAGAAATCCACGACGCTCCGGCCCTTCGGGTCTCGGCTCGTGGTTGGCGGCCTTGCCCAAACCGGCGGGTAACCACATGACTCTCGAGCCATGAGTAATATGTCTCGAGTTGTCACAAATTATTAATTATAAATTTATATTAATAACACAATTATTTAATAACAATTATTATTATTATTATAGTTTTTAAAATTTAAATAGTAATAATAGGTACATATTTACGTAGCTGTTGTTTTGTAACAATAAATCGCGTAAAATAACGTATGTAATAATGTAAATGCACGAGACCTCGGTATCGCAACAACGCGAGTACGTAAAAAATATTTTATAATATAATAAAAATACCTAAATAATAATTAATATTAATTCTGCAAACGTAAAACTAGCTAGCTGTAAATAGCTGTTGTTGTGGGTGAGGTTCGCGGTACGGTAGCGGCCGGCGTGTGGTGGTTGCTACGGCGCGGCGTTGGATGACGTTGCTATGACGGACGAAAAAAAAAGACTCACAAAACTGCAGTTTTTAGCTCTGTCTCTCTTGCACTCTGCATTCAACCAATGCGTGCGAGTGAGAGGTCCGAGCGCCGAAACGAAACTTAATGTATAATAGTCTCGCTATCGGTTGTCAAGGTGCTGTTTCTTATCGGTGTTACTTATGCACAGAAAGGAGTCTCTAGCGAGACTCTTCGATATATATGCATTATGCATGTGCTATATCAGTTACAAATTAACAATGAATAATAATTAAGTGTTAGCTGTAGGAAATGTTTTTTTTTTTATACTTAACCTAACCTAACTTACCGTGCCTTCCAAAACTCAGCGTTGTTCAATCAAAATGATAATATGCGTACCAAAACTCATCAATTGAAAAATGTTTTATTGTTGGATCTTGTTCCAAAATTCAGCGTTACCAACTAGATTTCAATCGGATCCAACATAAAATTTTAATGATTTTTCTGATTGAAATTTATTATCAGTAATCAGTATTATGATAACACAATATTTTTTTTAGTCGATCTGGAATTCTCGATTATAATTTGTTTTATTTTTGACTTATGTAGTTTCGTAAAACAAGTATTAACTATAAAGTTACTATTGATTAATAGTGAACTAAATATTATATATACTATATTTAATTTAATTATCTCATATCTGCAATGCTTCAATTCATTGGATTCGTTGAATACGAAGGTGTTGGGCGTATATGGTCTGCAGATAAACTTAAAATACTGTGCAATGTAGAAAATGGCAAGTATACTTTTTCATGTTCTTACATCAATAAATATATTTATGGATTCTAATTTATATAGCTTAATATTTTATTAGATGATGGTATCCAACAAATTATGATGGATGTAAATGTTTTAATTAGCAATGGGATCGATGTTGAAGAAAGTCAACCAGTAAGATGTACTAATTCACAAAACATAGTTCAGGACGATGAACCTTCTTTTGTCGACAACACTAAAGGTAAATTAAAATCCCTAATATCACTTAGATATAAGCACTTCAAATCTCACAGTTTATTATATAATAGATTGTTTTACTCCAATATAATAATAATAGCTTTAGAATGTGATATACATAATTGATAATAAATTATAAAAATAAAAAGACTTACAGCTCCTTCATAAGCGCAATTTCAACTTTTGACTTGGTGGGGGGGGGGGGGGTGAATATATTAAAGACAAGCACACCCTTACAAGTTACAATATAGCATTTTTAAATTGTATGTCCTAGATTTTTGGGTGGGCTAAGCCCTCCCAAGCCCCTCCCCAATTTGCGCCAATGATAGTCTGTTATGAGGGGTTTATGTAAGTTCAGTTAAAAAACAATTTAAGAAATGAATAAATTAATGATTAAAGATACCCATTATAGTATTATATGATTAATTAAAAATTGACTGTTGTAAAATCAACATTTTTTTATATATAATTTCAGAACATTTACATTATTTATAAATTTTATAAATATGATAAATATTAATTTTAAGTATCTACTTAGTTTTAATACTTAATCCCACTATGGCATTTATCTTAATATATAAACCAAAGTTGGCGCACCATATTATTACCTCAGAAAGGTATTTTTTATTTTCAAACGTACAAAAATAAATATCCTAATTTAATTTTCAGATGCATTTATATGGAACAAAAACCTTGTGACTTTGCTCATTGAGACACGTATTGAAATGGACACTTCCTTTCAAGGAAACAAATTCAAAAAAAATGTACTATGGACAAAAGTTGCTGAAAAATTAAATACATCTTTTCCAAACCATGCACCTGTCAGTGCCGATAAATGTGATTCAAAATGGAGAAATCTCTGGGTTACGTACAAAGCTAACGTGAAAAAGTCAAATTTATCAGGAAGAGACAGTGTCACTTGGGAATATTATGATGTTCTTGATGAACAATTCGGAAACAAACCAAATGTACGGCCTCATCCAAGTACTTTAATAAGTACACTAAATTCATCTTATGCTTCTAATGAAGATGATCGCCATTTAGAATCCCTTGATCAAACACTAAATGAATCTACTGGTCAATCTGATAATATAAAAAACAATAATACTACCATTAGAGAGACCAGGCAAGAAAATTATAAAAATATGAAGACTGGGTATGCCTACCCAATATTTAAAAAGTATTCGGAATACTACCCAAGTCTGGACATAATGTACCTTGAGGCCAAACTATGTATTTGTGACGAAGATCGTGAATAGCATCAACAGTTGAAGTGAAAATTCTGTGAGCGCTTGATTCACTTACCCCAAACCGTTCAGTTACTGATCTAAATGTCTCTTTTTCATTGGCTAAAACCCATAATGTCAAGAGCAAACGACGATCAATTGCAATAGGGGTTCGCCCTACAACTGTTTCAGCTGGTGGTAATTGCATAAGCAAAAACTAATATAATAAAAATGAATAAAAAATAAGATACATCAAGTTAAAGATAGTAAATATTAGGTAGGTACTTACTTCAAATGTTGATGGTAACAAGCGAAAGTGGAACTTAAATTCTGCTGGAGTCTGTCTGTAAACAGTTGCCACATAATTTTTAATTTTTTGCCTCTCCTTAAAATCACTAAGTGCTCTAGTTTTATGAAACTTTGAGAAACATTTTAGGATAAGTAGTTCATCTACTTCTGACGACTTTGTTAATATATCAGACTCAATGTTCATTCTTCTTAAACTCATAACGCATTGTATGCTCCCACAAATAATTGAGTCATTTAAACTCATACTTTAACCGTGTTCATTTATAATAGTGCAATTGTATTCTAGTATTCTACCTATATAGTATGAAATGTCAAATTAAATTGACTATTGATTCATAAAGCGAAATGCCGGTATTCGGGTATTAAAATATATTTGTCAATATTTATAAAATGATAACATGGCAAAAATGTTGCCATCACACTATCATGTTCCGTAATTCAACGCAATCTAGATATTTCGGTGTCCAACAACCATCAAACAGCGTTTCTATCATTGTTGAATTTTGGAAGTACCCCTTATATTACAATATATATATAACAGAAGTTATCATAATTATAAGTTTGCACAATTCTCCTTTAAATGGAATGCATAGGCTCGAACAAATTACTGCTGGTACTATTGGTTAATGAATAATTCTAAAGACAACTCTAATTATTAACCAATGGCTTATTGTAGGTAAGTGTAGCCTAAAGGTGTATAGTGCAATAAAATAAGTAAGAAAAAAATGAAACTTTTCAAATGTAGTTACTAATTAAACATGGGTATCAATTAATGTTTTTATATATTTATCTTAATATAACACATTAAACTCAATACAATTAAAATTATAATAATAAATAAAAATTATATAAAGTAGTATATACATGATAGCATAATACATTTTTGCATGCCGACCACATAAAAATGATGACAAATAAAACAATATTTTAAGGATAGTAAGTTACACCGTTTTAGGATATCACATGTATATGTAGGTAGTTTTCTTGTTTTATGACGGGCACGATTGATCCAGTCCATCGCATGTTCTGACATAGTGGATGTATCTCGGTGATAGTACGGACGGTACAGATCGTTCCTAAGTGAGCGTTGGAGGCTAGGTGACCAAAAGTAATTTCGAAAAGACACAACAAATTCCGTATAGATGGATGGGGGAGGGAGGAGAGTTGTGTACCAGAGCAGTGCTTTACCCGTGAAGTTATGGCTTACAAAATTGATTTTGACCTTATCAGGGGCGTTGTGCATAAAAAAATATTGATCAACTTTGTCTAAGAAGCCGGGTGGAGTGGTGATAGTGGTCCGTCATACTTAGGTATCCTAGTGGGATCCAGAGAGACACCTGAAGTATAGGAAGCGTTGTTTAACAAACTACAACCGTGATGTGGCACAACCTGGCTGGGTTGAGCTACAGGGATTGATGAGATAGAATGTTGAGGGGGAACATTGTGCTGAGAGACATTCGGCATTGTCGTAGAGGAGAGTATATTAAATGAGGTGGATGGTATCTGAGAAATGTTTTCGGTTGGCAGTGCTAGAGAAAAAGCAGGGGAGTTTAGAGTGGTAAATTGAAGTTTGTTTTCCACAGCAGACAATCTAGCCGCCTGTCCCTCGAGACCACAGAGACGGTCAGTTATCGTTTGAATTTGAGAATTAATGTTGCGTTGTACACTGTTTACATGATTCATACTCCCAATCAGAGTAGAGGCCTGGGAAGTATTGGTATACTCCTGAAGTTTAGTGATATTGTTTTGTACGTTACCGAAGTCTTTATGAAAATTAGTCTGCACCTGAGTGAGCCTGGTGGTAAGGTCAGTATCAATCTCATCGACACGTACACAGAGATCTTGGAACTTTTCGTCAAGTTCAGTATATCGACGGGCAAATTACTCTAACTGTTGGTTGAAAACCTCATTCATATCATCAATTTGACTTTTCAGAAAGGTGAGAGAAATCGTTAAAATCTTCACCTGCATTGCCCATTGTGATGTCAAAATCAGTTTGGGGAAGTTGTGGTGGTGGATATGGAGCAGAGGGGTCGTACCTATTTGGTGGTTGGACGCGACGCTGTCCAGCACCGTGCATGGGGATGAGTGAGAGGATTGGTATAATGTATCAAGTGGGAGTGATAGTAAATGGTCTTTTAAATAATGACCTAATAACCTAACCTAACCTAACCCAAGGGTCAAGTCGGTGGAACTCGCAGGCTTTGATACATGGAAGGAGTATTGCAACTCCAAGATTTATTTTGGGGAAAGGGTGTGTTGATTATGAAATAATAAGCAGTAATTTAAAGGTAATCACGTGAGTGTATTTTACAGGGGTTTTAAGTAATCAATAATTTTGTAATAATATAATCTGGCACATGGCAAGTACAATAAATATAAAAGACACATGGTCCATACTCAAGTCATTTAAGATGCTCGGCCCACGGGGATCGACACACCACATTTCTCGTGGTGGTCTCCACAGGGTTACCGGGTGCAGTTTAAATGATTTGGGGAGGCGAAGGGTCAAAACATCTTTAAGTGTGGTCCGGGGCCCCCTACTTAAACGCGCTTAGGGACAGCTGGTTTTTACGCCAGCCGTATGTGCACGCGTAGGAGGTTACCCGCTAGGCCCCAATGGCAACCACACTTTGGCGTTCTGCAACGCACATTTTACAAGTATCGTGCTTTTGAGTGACAAGAAAGAAAAAAAAGGGGGGAACAGGGGAATTATATTTACGACAGCCGAGTATGATGTTGACAGTGATGATGTGCTGGTTTGACGGCAGTCACGTGGTTGTAGCATGGCCCGACCTCGGGCCCATCGTAGAAAACTTAGCCCATCATGGCGTGTTGGTATTGAGCCAGGAAAAACGATACGTGGTTCTGACAGGTAATGTCGACACGAAATCTGGCGTGATATGCAGCGAGTTTACGTCATTCGTTGTTCACAAAAACAGTAGGATAGTACTAGGTGGAGCGGTGATCAACCGTGGTCCGTACTTTAGGACGACGAAAAATGGAGTGAGTAGTGACCAGCGTTAGTGGAGTATATCTTATGGCGAAAACCGAAATCCAAAAGTGAGATAGTCGTACGGCAGCTGATTGGCGATGGTGCTGGGGCAGTGTCGTTTTGTTGCGGGATCATTACATAATATTGTGTGGTCAGAAAGCACTGTGTGCGGTACCGGTTTTGACAACGACGGCGGTGACAGCAACAGTCGCCAGCGGCTGCAGGTCGAGTGTGCAAACACTTCTGAGTGCGGGGTGGGGGGGAAGAACATATTACATAATATTGCTGTTATTATTGAGAATTCTCTTTGCGCGGCACATGTAAATAATTGTATGCTAATAATTTATTAGAGGGCCAAAATTCCGTGACGTTACAACATATAATCCACAATAACATTATTTCGTAGAGGACGCCCGAAATGACCTCAGGTGTACCTAGCTGTGTACCATTTATTATACAAAAAATGCTATAGAAGGGCGCTATTAGAAATAAACGACGAAATACTTCGATGGACAAGCGTCCAGCAGACGAGCACCAGCAGAGCAGCCACCAAGTCGATACTAAGTCACATCTCGTTTACCACATTATTATAAATTAATTATTTGGACTTAGACTATTTTACGTGTTAAATAAATACAAATAAACTATCATTATACCATCAACTTGTTTATTTATTCACATTTTGTTACCAAAAAAAATTATAAACCTGTTTTCCTGTTTGAAATAGGGTGTGTCCCTATTACTTTACTAGTCGGCAATATTGTACCGTCTCCGAATTGTTTTTTCAACTGATAATTTGTTCCTGTCCTAAAATTATATTGCTTGGCAATTTCTGATACTATATTATATTCTTTTGGTGAATCTATTAGTGTACCTATAGTTTCTTTTACATTACTATTTGTGATAATTGTGTTCCTAACTTTCCGATATATTGTTCGTATGATTTGTTTTTTATTTCCTGAATTGAATATATGCGTGTGAGAGTATCTACATTTGAATTTAGAACTCCGGGTTTGTGACGTATTTGTAATTGATTTGTGTTAGCGGCGAATGAATTATATGTTATATGATTATTTTCTAAGATTGAGAATATGTGAAACATTCGTCAGTCGGTTGTTCCGCGATAATCTGGTTTATCGTACGAGTACCACGCCTCTCGTTCGACACGTTTTCGTTTTCCGAATTAATAACGTCTCTACTCTCATCGTTTCTCTTTTTATAACATGAGTCGATATTATGACCGTTTCGATTACAGTATGAACACGTAACGACCTGTATATTATAATTCGTTGGTGGTTGCATAAAATTATTCCTATCAGGTGGTCGGTTGTTATTGCCGTTGCTCGCATAACTAGGTCTCGAATTATTCCTACATTGAGATGCATAATGATTACCATTACAATTATAGCACTTTATTGCTGGCCTATTGATTGGTTGAGAAAAATTGTTTGCTCACGGATAATTATTTGTCCTTACAGGGTTATTTGATCTAATGTTTTCGTTGTTTCTATTTTCGTAATTCGGTCTGCGCTGGTTATAATTCTGTGAATAGTTATTCGAATAACTGTTCCTATGCATATGACTTTCCCTTTCCAAATCTAGTTTTACCTGTTCTGACTTTGATAGTTGTTTCGAGGTCTCCAAAGTCTTGGGATTGCGAGATTTTATTATTTTCCTAATCGGTTCTACTAATCCTTTAATAAATATCGGTAGAGTTTGTTCTCTTAATGTTTCATGTATAACCTTTGCTTCTGCAGCTTCTTTGCCTAATGTACTTACAGTACATAACCGATAATATAGTTTCTCTACTCTATGACAATAATCATTTACATCCTCATCGTGATACATTCTACTGGAATTTAATTGAATCTATAAAGATGATGCCGTGGTTGTTACATCGAATGCATCTGTTAAATACATTTTTATAAACTGCCATTTCGATACATTTTTGTATTTAATCATTTCTAATGCTCTACCCGTTAAACGTGTGGTAATATATTTTACTAGTGTTGGTGCACTGTTTGTGTCGACTAAGCTTACTGCCATATCGCATGCATTTATGAATTGATAGATATCGTCTATTCATGTGCATAGTGGAATTAATTTGAAAGCGTCTTCTAATTTTTTGGTTACTGCCATTTTTTTAGTGCGTGTTATAGGTAAAAATTCTAATGACTGATGTTCAAAACAATCTGTAACTTGGCTACGTGTGATTACTCCTGGACTTGGGTTTTTACTTGCTCTATCTCCTAACTGAGTTTCTACTAAAATATTCAACTGGGCTTTCTGTTGGGCTTCAAAATGGGCTTGGGCTTCTCTCTGGGCTAAAACTGGGCTTCTAACTGGGTTTCTTCGTTTACACTAGTGTTATACAATGAATTAGCTACGTTCAAGGGAGATGTACCTTCTTTGTCCATAAATTACTTAGCTACCTATTTAATACGTTAATACTCATAATTATAATACTCAAAAATGCCCTTTAAATTCAATAATAACTTCAATAATACGCCCTCTAATAAATTCAAATAAACTTCAATAATACTTGGACACCAGCTCAACTGTTACAATTGAGAAGTAAGATCTAAAATGAATGGGGTACACAGAAAAAAACTATTTAAACATGTTATACAAAACTGTGTAAAGAAAATGAGGAACTCAAAAAGAAAACAAGCTTTGTATTATAACAGAGGTGCGAATAAAATTATTAGTTGCTTTGAGGAAGGTAAAAAAGTTTATATGCAGGACAAGTGTACAAAAAATTGGCATGAAGGAAAAATAATTAAAAAACTGAAAGAGCCCAGATTATACTTAGTGAATGACAGAAATGGTAGGATGTTCAGGAGGAATACCAGTTTTCTTAAGAAAATAGGAATAAGGAAACAGATCATCGTAGAGGGTGAAAGAGAGGAGTATGGCAAGTTAAGTAATAAAGAACATTACAACAAGATTTGTTATCAAACATATCAAAAAGAACATAGAACCAGGATAGGGAGAAAGGTGGTCAAACCTAACAAATTAGACTTATAACATTATGGTTACGTTCAAAATTTTCAAATTTAAAAAAAAAAATGTAAATACACTAGAAAATTAAGTAATTTATCTCATTGTACTATTCCAATAATAATTTATATTTGTTTATGTTAATTTTATGTAATTTTGAAAAAATTGTTATTCTAAAGTATATTGTGAAATTAAGCACATTATGTTGTTAAGTAAAAAGGGGAGATGTGATAATACTTAGTGATAAAAAGTATTATTAGTGATATACACGTTTGATATCAAATAGTTCTTGTTCTTATTATTAATTTTGTATTGTTGTTACCAAATAAAATCTAGTTGTTATATTTTATTATATTAAATAAATAGCATGTATTTAATTATTAAATTATTAAGACACTCACATTAAATAATAACAGTCACAATAGGAAAAGATTGTCTGCAAAATGTAAGCTATGTAAAAAATTAAAGTCAGGATTTATTAAGTGAGTAAATTTAGTATTTAAATATTTCATAATATTCCAGAATTCGGTAATATAAATCATGATATTCCTTTCTTAACCTATGCATTAAAAAGTCATGCACGGGTCCTATATCTTCAATTTCAAATTTGGTAGTGATAATATTTACTATATCTTGAAGTTTATTTAATTTATCTTTTTCTCCCCATATACTTATTGCATATGGTAAGTGATATTGAATTAAAGATGAGTATACTGATTTCTTGAAACTTTTTTCTTTTAAAATATAGAATATTGACAATTTGTTTTTGTTTTTATTTTATTAACTATTTCATTAAATTGTGTGTCAAATGTTAGTTTTTGATCAATTATACTTCCTAAATATTTATATTCATTCAACTTTTCTAATTTAGGACAACAACATTCATTAATATTTGTACACAGAAAGTCATGAATAATTAATTTATTATATGAATTATCTTCAGAAAAGTCAATGTATTGTGTTATAGAAATATTTAAAGACAATTTATTTTCAATACCTAAGCCAATTTCTGATCTTAATTAAATCATCATTAGCTTTTCGATATAATTCATCATGATTGTCAGCTTCAACAACCAATGCTGTAGCATCTGCAAATAATACTAATTCACCATTGACTTTAATTTTAGCTAAATTATTAATATAAATGTTAAACAACAAAGGACCTAGGGAGGTCCCCTGGGGTACTCCACAATTAATAGTTTTAGTTTCTGATAATTTTGATTTGATTTTTGTACAACATGTTCTATTATTTAGATATGATTTTAATAGTTCTAGGGTGTTTCCTCTTACACCCATATTATCCAATTTCCATATTAGTATATTATGGTCTACAGTATCGAAAGCTTTTTTTAAGTCATAGAAAATTACCATTTTACATATTTTTTCTGTTTTAATTAACGACATTAATTTTGAAATTGTTTTTTCTGTATTTTTACCTTCTCTGAAACCAAATTGTGATTTAGAAAGTATTTTATTTTTTTCTAAGAAGTAAACTATCCTTGAATAAATACATTTTTCAAAAATTTTAGAGACATTTGAAATTAAAAAAATTGGACGTCGTCTTTTGGTAATCCATTTTTTTTATATATTGGAGTTATTATTGCATGCTTTAATTGTTGAGGAAAATAATTTGTATTAATAAATAGATTAAATAATTCTGCCATTGAAGTGGCTATTGATAGTGGTCATAATATCGACTCATGCTATAAAAAGAGACGTTAATAATTCGGAAAACGAAAACGTGTCGAACGAGAGGCGTGGTACTCGTACGATAATATTATCTTCTTAATGTCATTAAATTGTTATTAATACCAAATTCAATGGATTTTTCGTTAGTGGATTGAATAAACGCTTCTACAGAGCGTCTGTGTGTTAAAGAATCTTCGTGTATTTTAACAACTTCATAAATATGTTTAAAGTAATTACAACCCTTAGAAAACATGGTAGCAGATGAACTAAAAGCAATACAAAATGGACAGTACATCGTTTTAAGCTCATTACCAATACAGAACACTGATAATCATTTCCGGGCAATTTTTTTATCATCTGGTGTTTTTCTAAAATATAGCTTTTCTAAATCTAGTCGAATATTACTGAAGTATGATGGTTGAATGGGTTGTTGTTTGACAAAGTTTATCTTTTCAATAATATCAGCATTCTTTTTTAGTTTGAATAATAATTCTTCGTTGGATGACAAATTATATTGTAGAGATTCAATTTCCTAAAATAATATTAACATGAATTTTGTGATAAAATCAATTAACTTAGATATATAGATCTTTATGAGTCAGCATATTATATGATACTATGACAGAATTAAAAAAAGTATTTTGAAGTGAATTCAAATATTTTAATCAGTCGTATAATGTGAACAAATTATGCATTACATATCAAATGAATACATAAAAATGCAATGTATTATCATTATTATTTTAACACATTAATGCAATTTAAAATGTAGTTTTTTCTAAATCGATTTGTTCAATAGAGAATATTCAAAAAGTTGTAATAAAATAAAAAATCTTACCAATACACTCTCTGTAGCTGTTGTTTTTTGGTTTGTATCTAAAGATAAATCTAAATCAATATTAATAACTCCAGTTGAATCTTGTACAGTATGCTTTTTCTGTACTGTAGCAGTAGAACGACTATCACACATTTATTAATTTTGTAGAAATAATATAACAACTCCCATTGTTTTATTGGATTATTTTTATTAACTACATTGATTTGATCTTTAAAGTAATTTTCTCTTGCAATTTTAATTAAATGTACTATTTTTGATTTATATGCTTTAGCTAATTCTTTATTGTGCTTTAATTCGTTTTTTAATAGATTATTTCCAACTTTAATTGACTCAATAATAAGTAGAGTAATCCACGGATTTCTGCTTCTAGCCGGAATAAAATAAACAGATTTTTTTAATACATAACTTATATATTTACCGCATTCTTCATTCACGTATTCATGTGTTGAAGTCGCCATAGTTGTTGTTTCTTGTTGGTGATTCATTGGCTGTAGTCGAAATGTCGTCCAAAATTATAAGCTTTCAGCATCAAAAATACTAACGTGCTAACTAGTAACGTGCCAACCACTTCAACTCAGTTTTGATTGTATTTTGAATAAAATAACAAGTTGATGGTATAATGATAGTTTATTTGTATTTATTTAACACGTAAAATAGTCTAAGTAAAAATAATTAATTTATAATAATGTGGTAAACGAGATGTTACTTAGTATCGACTTGGTGGCTGATCTGCTGGTGCTCGTCTGCTGGACGCTTGTGTAATGGGATTACGCAATTCATGTAAACGCTCATAATAACAAGAACCACTTATATGAAAAGCGGCCTCGTCGACCGCACCCAAAAGTGGTCATAGCTAGAATAGACGCTCCAAACCACTACAACTTTCCAAGGGCGCCTACATGCAACGCGCCGCTCAATTCAAAGGACGTCGCCTTCGTATATATAGAGGCCAGGGCCCCAATACACATTAGATGTACCAGAGCTGCTAAGACCGAGCGAGCCGCTTATGCACCAGCCATTACACACAACTTACATGGAGATTATCGACTACTACAACGAGTCAACTCACGAAGCTGCAATTCACCACGACTATATTAATTATTATTGGTTTTAATAAATTACAATTGATTTATATTTAAATTGACTATATTTTATTGTAAAAGTGCAACAGCTTTTGGATACCTGAAGGGCCGTACGTAACACTGGCACAGTCGGTAGGATTTCTTTCAAAGGAGGCAACCCGTCAAAGGCTACAGTCAACAAAGAAGAATTGTACACTCTTTTACAGTTTTTAGCTCAGAGAGAAGCCCAAGCCCATTTTGAAGCCCAACAGAAAGCCCAGTTGAATATTATAGTAGAAACTCAGTTAGTTTACCTATAACACGCACTAAAAAAATGACAGTAACCAAAAAATTAGAAGACGCTTTCAAATTAATTCCACTATGCACATGAATAGACGATATCTATCAATTCATAAATGCATGCGATATGGCAGTAAGCTTAGTCGACACAAACAGTGCACCAACACTAGTAAAATATATTACCACACGTTTAACGGGTAGAGCATTAGAAATGATTAAATACAAAAATGTATCGAAATGGCAGTTTATAAAAATGTATTTAACTGATGCATTCGATGTAACAACCACGGCATCATCTTTATAGATTCAATTAAATTCCAGTAGAATGTATCACGATGAGGATGTAAATGATTATTGTCATAGAGTAGAGAAACTATATTATCGGTTATGTACTGTAAGTACATTAGGCAAAGAAGCTGCAGAAGCAAAGGTTATACATGAAACATTAAGAGAACAAACTCTACCGATATTTATTAAAGGATTAGTAGAACCGATTAGGAAAATAATAAAATCTCGCAATCCCAAGACTTTGGAGACCTCGAAACAACTATCAAAGTCAGAACAGGTAAAACTAGATTTGGAAAGGGAAAGTCATATGCATAGGAACAGTTATTCGAATAACTATTCACAGAATTATAACCAGCGCAGACCGAATTACGAAAATAGAAACAACGAAAACATTAGATCAAATAACCCTGTAAGGACAAATAATTATCCGTGAGCAAACAATTTTTCTCAACCAATCAATAGGCCAGCAATAAAGTGCTATAATTGTAATGGTAATCATTATGCATCTCAATGTAGGAATAATTCGAGACCTAGTTATGCGAGCAACGGCAATAACAACCGACCACCTGATAGGAATAATTTTATGCAACCACCAACGAATTATAATATACAGGTCGTTACGTGTTCATACTGTAATCGAAACGGTCATAATATCGACTCATGTTATAAAAAGAGAAACGATGAGAGTAGAGACGTTATTAATTCGGAAAACGAAAACGTGTCGAACGAGAGGCGTGGTACTCGTACGATAAACCAGATTATCGCGGAACAACCGACTGACGAATGTTTCACATATTCTCAATCTTAGAAAATAATCATATAACATATAATTCATTCGCCGCTAACACAAATCAATTACAAATACGTCACAAACCCGGAGTTCTAAATTCAAATGTAGATACTCTCACACGCATATATTCAATTCAGGAAATAAAAAACAAATCATACGAACAATATATCGGAAAGTTAGGAACACAATTATCACAAATAGTAATGTAAAAGAAACTATAGGTACACTAATAGATTCACCAAAAGAATATAATATAGTATCAGAAATTGCCAAGCAATATAATTTTAGGACAGGAACAAATTATCAGTTGAAAAAACAATTCGGAGACGGTACAATATTGCCGACTAGTAAAGTAATAGGGGACACACCCTATTTCAAACAGGAAAACAGGTTTATAATATTCTTGGTAACAAAAAATAAAGACCGACAGAAGGCCACTTACGAAAACATGTACATATCCTTGATCAATGTAAAACTATTTTGTAAGGAAAACACTTTGAATAAATTAGCCATGAACAAACTAGGTGAACACGATGATTTAGAATGGGAAAAAGTAAGGTCGATGTTACGATACATATTTCGCAAAACAGATATAGAAATAATGATATGTGAAAATATAGAATATAATGCAGAAGAAAAAGCAATCATTTTATTACGATTTCACGATTCAAAACTAGGCGAACATTTAGGTGTGAATAAAACCATTAAGCGCATAAAAAAAACAATTCTTATGGAAGGGTATGAAAAAAAACGTTAAGAAATATATAAAGAATTGTGCGTAATGTCAGGTTAATAAGGTATCAAATTGGCACATAAAACAACCAATGGCTATTACATCCACTTCGTCTAAACCATTCAAAAAAATATTTATGGATATAGTAGGGCCTTTGCCGATTACACTGTCCAATAATGTATACATTTTAACGATGGAGAACGATTTGACACGTTACACTTTAGGAATTCCAATTCCTGACCAGAAGGCAAATACTGTTGCGGAAGCCTTTGTTACATACTTCGTTTGTGTACACGGCATACCAGAAACAATACTCACGGATCAATGAACTAATTTCCTCTCGAAAACGTTTGCAAATGTTTGTAAAATATTAAAAATAGAAAAGGTTAACACAAGTTCATTCAGACCGCAGGGTAACCCCATAGAACGCGCTCATAGGACTTTAGCCGAATACTTACGGCATTATGTAGATAAATTTAAATAATTGGGATCATTTATTACCCTTTGCATTCTTCGTATATAATTCAACAGTACATACTTCTACTAATTTTCAACCATACGCATTAGATACAGATGTACATTGGAGGTACCGATTAACTCGAAGGCCAAATCTGAACCACGTTACAATTACGACGATTATATATTGGATCTAAAAAAATATGCAAATATCGCATAAAATATCTAGATATCTTTTAATTAAAAGATATATATAAATATAATAAATAATAATAACATAAATTAAATTATGATAGGTACTTCTAGGAAAATATATACAGGGTGATTTTTTTATCGAAGAACACTCATTATTTCAAAAAGTATTGACTTTTTCAAATTTTTTTTTGTTTTTAAATTTTTAGATTCATGCTTTTCTACAATTGTATTACATTTTAATTTTTTTCACCCTTATATTTATTAGGTAAACCACTATCAACTTTTGATTTTCAAATGGTGACCCATACAAAAATTGTTATAAACTAACAAGGCTATTTTTTTTATGAATTATCACGTTCAAATTTTCATTTTTCGTTAATCCGTTGACGAGATATAGCTCCTCAAAGTTGGGTGGTTTTGTGAGGTTTGTGTGTAAATGTGTAATACCTAGTCAGTACCTAGGTACCGCAGCAATTGTGATTTTTATGCCCCAGGGTAAAAAATGTTACACTTTTTAAATCATTTCAATTACAGTAAGCTTAAGTTGTGCCCCTAAATGTATTGTAAAACGCCCCTTTTGGCGGGGTATCGCGCAGTTCATCCCACTGATTGCACTGGTCATAATAAAGTTTATCAATTTTAAAGACCAGAAGTTAAAAGAAATAAACTTGATATCGTTTGACCCAAGGTATAATAGCGATAATCATTGTACCTACTCGCTACAATAAATTATTGTCATAATCTCATATTATTATAAGTAATTGGACCATTACTGTCAATTGTCAAATGTTGCATACTCGCGTGTGTAATATCCACTACACACCTAGCACGATGTAGATAATATTACTATAGATATATTATCTACATCATGACACGTCCTATAACCTAACCCATAGTAATACGAACACAAAACAAAACAGTAATGTAACAGTGATGTCTGATTAACTGATTTGAGACACGGACAGTAGTATTAATTTGGGGCTTCTGAGTCACTTTTTACAGGGAAAAAAAAAAAGTTCAAGGAGGAAAGTCCCCCTTGCAGCACATTCGATCACCGTATAGGTAAAAATTCTAAAAAGGTGGGTTGGGGCTTCTGAGTCACTTTTTACAGGGAAAAAAAAAAAGTTCAAGGAGGAAAGTCCCCCTTGCAGCACATTCGATCACCGTATAGGTAAAAATTCTAAAAAGGTGGGTTGGGGCTTCTGAGTCACTTTTTACAGGGAAAAAAAAAAAAGTTCAAGGAGGAAAGTCCCCCTTGCAGCACATTCGATCACCGTATAGGTAAAAATTCTAAAAAGGTGGGTTGGGGCTTCTGAGTCACTTTTTACAGGGAGATGAAAAAATTTCAAGTAGGAATGTATGCCTTACAGTGTAACCAATCTATCTAAAATTTACTAGAGAAAATGCAAATTTTAATTTGTCAAACAAGATTTTATTTAAAACATTTAGTCAGTTACTATCGAGCCGTCGTACAATCAAGTTGTGTTATTATTTTTTTTCAGTGCATTATCTTATTGAATCGATTTTTTTCAACCAACTATTTTAAGTTTTATTAAAAAACCATGAATTTACAGAAGTTTTCTAACGATTTTCCTTCATTGGTTTATTTAGTTAGAAATAATTCGTATCCAGTACATTCAGATTTTACTACATTTTTATCGAGATTAAAAACGTATAATTCATTTCCATCTACTTTATGTCAAAATAAATATTCGTTATCTGAGGCTGGATTTAAGTATTCAGGAACTGCTGACATAGTCGAATGTTTTTGTTGCGGACTGGTGTTACAAAAATGGACTAAAGATGACATTCCGTTTGTTGAACATGCAAAATGGAATCCTAAATGTATATTTGTTTTACTTTGTAAGGGTAATGAATTTATAGAAAATGTAAAAAACGAATATGTAAAATCTACACATGTTTGTGATTGTAATCAGTCTAAATCATAATATGTTATCATTAACTAGTTTACTTGTTTAAATTAATTATATTTTAATAATTTGTAATCATTTATAAATAAATATTGTATTAATCAACTTAAATGCGTTAATAATTGATTTTATATCTCGTTGACTTGTAGTCGAGTCGGATAACGCGTCAAGTTGTAATTCAATATAGTAGGTAGGTTTAAAATTCAAGTTACAGGTTCAACGGTTCAAGTAAGTATCCCCTCTCTACGCGTTATCTGATTTGGTTTCATGGTCACTTTAGTTTTTATATCGATATCAGACAAATAAGTTTAGTATATAATAATACAGGATTCAAGTAATATACTCAGTTTTCAAATATGTGTGTTGTAACGATCATCCGTTATTCTATTTCACGTTTTTTGAAGTTCAAACATTTTTTTACATTTATACGTTTTTTTTTTTTGAAAAAAATCATAAAAAATCGACTATATCAAAAAGAACACGTCGCAGTACAATATGATTCCAATTGTTGTTTCAAAGTCAGTAATCGATATACGACCTCTTAGCAAGAAAAGTGTAACTGTTGGATTTTTGGTTAATAAAAATATGTTTACTGTTATTATATTACTCCAATGTAATTTCACAAAAAAAATGCTAATGATCGATTTAATACAGTGGTATACACTAATTTCAGATTCAATTTATAGCTCAATAACTAATAATCTACATACTAATAATAGTAAACGTATAAAAATAACAGATAGCATATATTATACAGTTAATTTAAATCAGTTTACTATTAAATTGTATGTTAATAACCAATTTATCACGTTATCATATAATGATCTCCATCGGATAAAAGAATTACAAGAATGTATTGATTCGTATATTGTTGAAAAGCAGAAAAAGTTGGTTTCATATCAGTCAATTTTTGATACAGTGTATTCATTAATTAAAGCAAACATTAATATTTTACCATTATCTTGTCAGCGAAATGATTTTACAAACCAGTACATACAAAACTTTGATTTTAGCAATTGTTTTGTACAGAACGATGATTTCAGTTTTATGTATGAAATACTTCAATTCCACAATAATTCTTTATCAGATATAATATTAAATGATATTAAAATATAACGTTATGTAGTTACAATCTACGACTGCTTTATCACCAGCTGCAGGTTGTTTACGAGTTGCGATCAGACAGCAGTGTAACCTTCGTTATCACATATTCTTCGTATCATTGTTAACCGTGCTTGTAATCAACCGTTTTTTACAAAATTTAAACTATCTTATCATGAATTACTAATTTTGTTTCCATAGTTCATATTATAATATGCAATTTTTCGTTATGTTCATAGACTATAGTTATGTTATTCTGTATTCATGCTACATGATAGAACAGTTTTGGTTAGTGTTAAAGTATATGACTAAACCGCTTGTTTGACCTTTGACGGTCTCGCATATTAATTATTTTTATATTAATAATTATATATTATTTATATTATTAATTTTTATATTAACAACCGTTCATGTGTTTCTGGTGCTATGATTTATTTCTGTAAGTATCTTTCACGATTTATTTATTGTTATGAATTATGATGTAATTATATGTCAGTTAATTAATCGTTTGAACACTTTTCAGTTGTTACTATTAATATTATTATTATTACTATATATGGTTTGTAATAAAAAAAAATAAGGGTAAAACTGATTTAATTATTGTTTTAATTTGTTTTTTGCTCTTTAAACTTTATACCATTAATAAAAATTATCAATATTATTGTAAAAATAGAAACAAGATTAATTATTTTATTATAATGTTACTACTTTTATTAAACAATCATTAAATATAAATTTTTACAATTTGTAATATTAATAAAACAGATTATACATTTAAATTATGATTATTTTATTTTTTAGTATTTTTGACAAGTTTTTTCTTAGGATCTGTTGAAAACCGGTCCAATATTTCTCGAACAACGTCGTTGATTTTGTTTGAAATTATTGAATCTTTTGTATCTCTACTTGATGTATAAATTTTAATACTAGCTTCCGCATGTTTCCATCTAGTATGAAAATTCACTATTTAATATTTTTTTATTTTAAACATGTTATAGACCATAATTTTTTTTTTTTTTTTTACTAACCTTTCATCTGATGGAATATCTTGGATTGTATTCATTTTATAGTGCTGAATGACATAGTAGTCTTCACAGTGAGGTGCAACTGAACATTTAAATGTGTAAGAACTATTCCCTTCCTTCATTGTTAATGTATTTAATATATCATTTTCAATTTTTCCTTTTGATATCAAATCCATAAAAATATCCTTGTATGATTCTGATTGCTGATATTATACATATAAAATAAAGTAACATTTCAATTAGTATTAAAAATGATGTGTGTGTGTGTGTGTGTGTGTGTGTGTGTGTGTGTGTGTGTGTGTGTGTGTGTGTGTGT